AACCTGAACATTTCATGCTAGGATTTTTCTTAGACATTTTTGTGCAGGAGAGAGTAAGCTTGGTAAGTTTGGGTTTGCTGTCTTTAAAATAAGGGTCTGCTTACAGGGTTGTCTCTTGGCTGGCATTCTGGGAACTTCTGCTTTGAAATGCCCCCTCTTGTGCCAAGCAGTAAGGTCATTTGGTGTGCCAAGGGGACTGAATTTCATCGTGCCATCCTAGCTAGACTTTTTTTGTTTTTTGTTTTTTGTTTTTTAAACCATGTGATTTATGGTAAGCTTCTGATTTCCTTCTGGGAGCTTTTAATGATTGTGGCTGATCATGCTGGTGATCATGATGGCGGATCATGATGGTGGCCTGTGTGACCAACCTGTGAAAAAACTTGTACTTTGAATCTCAAGGAATGTTGCTGGATGAAAATACTACCTACGTGTTCCTGCACTTCGCTGCTGGAGAACGTTTGGAGCTTAGAGATACATTTTTCCAGATACCATCTGATGTGCCATGTCTTCTTACTAATTTCATTAGTTTGCATTTCTTCTTTTAGTTTTTCCCAGTTGTCCCAATAATGTCATCTCCAAATGATATCTTGTGTTTTTTTTTTTTTTTACAATATCTCTTACATTAATTTTTGTCCTATTACATTGATCAGATCTTCCACAACAATGCTAAATAATTGACTTCAGCAAACTTTCTTCACATGGCAAGGTCTGTGTACCTCTAGTGTATAACCTATGGCTTATGAGCGTTTGGGAAAGAAGATGCATGCAAAGGACATGCTAGAACTTAAAACACTTTCTATGCCCTTGCTAGAAGTTTTAGCTTTATCCCTGTAGGCCGTAGGAACCAGCAGAAGTCTTAAAGGGAGGGAGTGACCTATTTTTATTTTTTGAAGGCAATTCTGGAAGTAGTATGGGAGATGGCTTTAAGTAGGGAAAGAAAGAAGATGGAATGATTAAAAAGGCCTTTGTAACAATTTATTTGAGAGATACTGAGGGATTGAATTAGGTACTAAGGAAAAAAGAATGGAACCTGAATTTTTGAGGAGGTATTTTTAAAGTTGAAACAATAGAAATTCATTATGGTTTCAGGAAAGGAGAAATTGGAACAGAAAAGGGGTTAAGGGAAAATGACCATGTAGAAGTTATGAGGGAAAGGGAAAATTTCATTGCACCTCTCAAGTTTCCAGGCTAGAAGATAGAGTGAGTGTCAGTGGTTGAAATCAAAATTTGGTCAGAGTCCAGTATGTTAGGAAAGGTGTGGAGCTGAGTTTTGTATACCTGTGGAGCCCCTGGGAATGCAGATCCAGAGAATGGAGAAGGGGCCCAGGCTAAGGGGAGGCACATGGTCCTCACCACAGTCGAACAAAAAACCAGATGAGAAGAGGCAAGAATCTAAGGAGAATGTGTCAAGTTAAAAGGAGGTGTAAGAGCATGAGCATACTTTGCCTTTTAAGTATTTGGTTGATTAATTGTATTACTAATGGGCCCTATATGAAGCTAAAGAAATGGGAACATTTTCCTGAGAAAGCTACAAGATTCCATTCAAGTTCTCACAAGTAAACTGTCATATATCAAAACAGGTTCCTTAAATGGAATCCTCTGAGGAGAGCTGCATGACTGAGCAAGTGAGCTAACCTATATTTGACCCTCAGTTCTCATCTATAGATAACCCAGTCCCATATGGTCTTGCTGTGTTCCCTCTTGCTTCATTACAAGGAATGCTCTCTCTAGTGGCCACAGAGATTTTTCTGGTCAAGGAAATGTGGTATTAACCCCTGTGTAAGATCTCACCTCTTTCCTTGGTCCCTGCCAACCTCTGCTACCTCATTTCTTTCATCCCTCTTTTTCACTCATTGTGCTCTGGCTGAGGGATCCTTCTTTCCGTTCAGGCCTTGGGATCTCTGTTTATGGTAGGTACTTAATATGAATGAGTGACTCTGGCTTCTAGGTTTGTTGTGAGAAGTAAATGTGAAAAAAATATATGAAGAGCCTGTTAATGTGCCTGGTGCATTACAAGTGTTCAGTAAATGCCACTTTTGGTCATGTTTGTCATTTTTGTTCTTGTGTTACCCACCTGTAACTCTAATAGTTCTCCATATTTTTCTACTCCAATCTACCTTTCCAACTCTTCCCATCCAGCCAACTTACTGTCTTCGGTTTTTGCCTCCCCACAGGCTGTAGTCTGTGTGTGCTGATACCTCTCTTCATTTGGCTTTTGATATGATTTCATCTAATTCCCTGGACTTTGCATACATGTATTCTCCTAGGCAACCCTGTTTCTTATCATGCATCTGTGGATTTCTGTTCCAAAGGACACAGAGCATATAACAGCCTTCTTGCCTGAAATTCTCAGGAGAATGGGAATCCTCTGGGGACTAGGTCCCAGGACTACAAAGGGATTCTTAAAACACATAAGGCACTGTTCTGATTACATCATTATTTTGTGGATTTGGAATCAGCAGCTTGTAAATGGTAGCCAGTGCTTATTGAACACTAACTCTGGGCCAGGCAAAGTCCTAAGCGCTTTACTTACGTTATCTTGGTTTATGGATTGATTTTATGAGTATTCCTGTCATACTAACGGGCCCAAGGTCATGCTGATAGTGACTTACAAGTTAGCATTTAAGCCCAGGTGGTCTAATTTCAGATTCCTGTCCTCAGCTATACTTTTGTATTCTATAGTGCCTCAGTAGCAGTTCCTGGGTCATAGAGTTAACTCTTACTCTTTAGTGTTTAATTTTAAATTTAGAAAATAATACACAGTTATAGGTGGTTTTTTTTTTTTTTTAAATCTTAAATTTCAGTAGCTCTTCCCTATCATTTTGAGTCTCATTTCACTTATGGCAACTACTATTAACAATATTTTCAGGATTGGTTTTTCTTTCTTTTTTTTTTTTTTCCTTTCTTAAACTCCTTAGTGCGATTCTCCTCCCAGCTTTTTGTTTCCAAAAACTCAGCTTATTCCTAGTTGGCTCATGAAAGTAACTGACAGCGGGTGTTCCACCTCTGTCACAGGCAAGCTTATAAAATTAGTTAAATTCTTACTTGTTAGGGATCCATTTACATTTCTAAAGAAGACCTACTTTTCGTTTACAGTGCCAGGCTGATGAATTCTTCAAGTTCCCAGGACTCTGTAAACTGTTACTTGACAATCCATGTGTGACTCTATCACCTTGGTGTTCAGAGAAAAATGAGCAACAGGCCTTCCTGGCTGAGGAAATGGGGTTTGATGCTCTTTCAATGCATGGCTTGATGGACTCAAGATTCTCGTGAAGAGAGTTTTGCTTTTAGAACCTTATTTTTTCTCTACTTGTCTATTCATGAAGAGCTATAATTTTTAATCAGGAACACAAAAATACCACGATGGAAATGGCCATGGTTTTCAGCATGCCGAAGAACATTTTCCTAAAAAGTGAGGTCATCAGAAGCATGGAGCCGAGAAATCCCAGATGGCACTAATATTTGATTTCATTTTTAGCACGCTCATATTCAGCAGATGGATTGGAAGGCTGACCTCTCTGACACTTCTGCATCACTGCCTGCTACTCCAATTGCCTTTGCGCATGTTTTTTCATAACACTTCTCCTGGTCCCTCAGAGATTGATGCCTGGTCACCCGCCTGCGCTAGGCTTCATTACACCAAGGCTCCGTGTGGTTGAGAGTTGCTGTATTCTATAAAAGGGGAGAAATCCTAGCTCATCAGTGTCTCAGACTTTTCGCATACTCTCAAATTGCTTGTAACGTGTCGGAGAGCATCATCTTAGATTTCCTGATACACCTCCGATTTAGATCTGTTTTTTAGTCCTTTTCTAATTTTTCTGCTTTCTTTCGTGACATAGATAAATTTATGATTACTATTAAAAAAAAAACTTCTCTGAAAATGGCTAATTGATTGTTTCCAACAATCTAATTATATTAAGGTGAATATTGTTGAATTCCTCTTTGCATAGAAGCTTCGGGGGCAAAGAGAACGAACCTGGGTTGTAGGGCTTGGCTCTGCCATTTCTTTCACTTTAGTATTGTCCTCAGTTTCCTTGTTTGTAAATTACTGATATCATTAGTGCTGAGTCATTAGGATTGGTGTGAAGGTTAAGCAGACTAACGAACATCATGTGGTTGTTACAGCATTGGCACAAAGTTACTTTGGTTGTGTCATTTTTTTTTTTTTAATCTTACGTCTGTTATGGTAGTTTGTGGTATGCCTCATAGATTCTTTTGCATATGCAGCTAATAAAAATAAAATCTAGGGTGCCTGGGTGGCTCAGTGGGTTAAGCCTCTGCCTTCAGCTCAGGTCATGATCTCAGGGTCCTGGGATAGAGCCCCATCTCAGGCTCTCTGCTCAGTGGGGAGTCTGCTTCCCCCCCCACCTGCCTCTCTGCCTACTTGTGATCTGTCAAATAAATTTAAAAAAGTAAAATCTAAAACACAGTTTTATTGATTTTTATTTGGATTACAAGGAAGGCAAATTGTTAAAGAGGAAGTTTTTGATAATCAGACTGATGTTTTGTTTTAAAACTTTTTACAAAATTACTTTATTCACTTTTACAGATGATTACATCATCCACATACCTATTTAGAGATGGCTTCCGTGGGGTTGAAGCACCCTTTTCCCCTCCTGCCCGCCCTCTCTATCTAGTTTATATTTCAGTGGCTGGGGAAGCTATCACACAGCATGAATATCCAGCAGGTTTTTGTGTTTGTCCTGGCAGGTTGACCTCTGTGGCCATTCTGTAGAGTTCTCTGGGAACCCTCCATTCTGAGGAGGATTAGTTTGCTTAAATCCTTCCGTGTTGCTGCTTTGCACGCAACCAGATTTTGGTGCATATTTTAATGCAAAGCCTACTTTTGGCTTAGAAAACATTGCATATTTAATAGCCTTTTTGCTTGAATCAGATCTCTGCCCTGTGTAATGTTGATGAATTTAGGTTTTAGAGGACTAGACTGCTATTTTGTTGTGAAACTTTCTTTAGGAAGTTACTTTTTTTTTTTCTTTTTATAGATCGAACATAAGGCCAGACTACGCAGACTCCAATTTCCATGAGTTCAAGATGCACACCTTCAATCGGGTTACATCCTGCAAAGTCTGCCAGATGCTCCTGAGGTAAGCTTGCTTGGTCCTGGTTTTCACTTTAAAAGAGCTGCTATAATTGCTCAGTGTCTCAGACTTTTCTAATATCCCAGCCAAAATGTTCTGAAGTGGGGAAATGGCCTTGACAGTTTTGAGCCAACAGATCTTTCCTCAGCCTCCTACCTGGATGCTTCCTTCTGAACCCCAGGAGACCCTCTCCCCTGCTGAGAAGACTTTGCCAAGCTCGGTGTTCCCTTGTTTTCTTTTTTGTGCTCATGGTTTCATAGAGGCAGCTTTTAGCACCTTTTAACATATCACTCTCTAATTTTACCTTTCAGAGGAACATTTTATCAAGGCTATTTATGTTTTAAGTGTGGCGCAAGAGCACACAAAGAATGCTTGGGAAGAGTAGACAATTGTGGCAGAGTTAATTCTGCTGGTAAGTCATGTTTATTATTGTGATTCTCCTTTTAATTAGGATATAAAACTTGATAAACATCACTAAGACCTAATTTACTCTTAATATGTGTTTATGGTGACAGATCTGCTTTTGAAACTATCATTTATAAGGACAATTAAAAAAATGTTTTAAATTCCTGTGACTTTTATACGTACCTGGGAGGCAGAAGCCCTTTGGGGGTGGGGGGCCTTGGAAGATTTCGGGCCACCCATTTCATTCAGCCTGGCCCCTGAGTCTCACTAATGCTGTACAAATATAGCCAAAGCACACAAATGGAGAAACAAAAACAAAACTGAAAAAAAAATTAATAATTCTTCACTTCTTTCTTAAGTCCTTAAATTTCTCCCTGTTCTCTTAAATATTCAGCTCAGAAATGGTAATGATGTCAGCAGTAAACAACACACAGACTAATTCATGAATTAATGAATTGAATACATTGTCATTTTGCAGCATTTAACAGAGAGCATATATCCTTTGGATTTTATGTAAATATTTTCCCCTTGGTTTTTAAAAATAATGCTCCATGACTGTTACATGAGCCAGTTGCTAAGACTGTTGGCAATTATGCATTCAGTAGCCTTTTGCCTCTCTCTGCTCCTCTTGGGTTCTCTTCCTTCTCTTTCTTTTCTGGCCTCTTTATACTTTCTCTTTCTTCTTCTTTCTCTTTGTCCTTTTCCCCTGAGTTTCTCTTGTGTTTTATCAATAAGACCTTTCAAAATCAGTAAAACTTTTTGAACAGAAGAAAGAGATCTTTAACAGCTTGAGTTCAAAAGGTAGCTATGTCAACCTTTGATTTTCCCAAAGGAAAAGGTGGACATTGAATTATTTTGGATAATATGAAGAAGAGTGAAACAGAATAATAGCTCATTTCAGAGCTGAGTTCAGAAAATGGGTAGTTGTAGAAAAGTTGTTAATCCCATTAGAGGACTGGGATCACAGCTCATTCCTCTCACCCTGCTCCTCTGGTGGATGGTTTTTAAGATTCCCATGAGCCATGAGCTCTCCATACCAGGCATGGGCAGCTGCAAGGAGGAGCATTCCGCGCTGGTTGAGCACCTGCACTGGGCTCTCTGCCAGGCCTGTCCTGCACAAACTCATTCAGTCCTTGGGGCAATGCTTCCCGTTTTCTGATGGGAGTCAGTGTTCATGCAATTGACTTCAAGTCTGCTAAGACAAGGAGACAAGATCAGCACCCACTAAGGTTTCTGAAGGTCAGATAGAGTTGACAAAGTTATAAAATAGAAATGTTATATGTTATTATTATTATTCTTCCTTTGTCCACCTGGTACATCTTATCACTTAAATTTTTGTTGTTCTGACTTTATTTGCCCCATCCTTTAATCTCTTTGAGGACAATTAACATGTTAGGTGTTGGTGGTAGGCTAATGTGTTTTTATAAAGCACCCCCCCACCCCTCCTCCCCCCCGCCGCAAGCCCTGTCTTAGGAGTTTCAGTCTGTGAGGAATGGGAAGTGATCTCATAGTTGGCATGGTTCTTGCCTTCTACTGAAAGAGTGCAGGAGAGTAGTTGAGAGTCAAGCAGAAATGGTGGAAAAGCTCCTCCTGCCCTTTGCTAGCTATGCAAGCTTGGGGGTCTTAATTAAGCATTCTGAGGTTTTGTATATTCTTGTATAAAAAGGAAATTAGAGGATTATCTTGGGGGTCAAATGAAACAATGTTGATGCTTAGCACAGTGTCTGGGTACAATAAAAATGTAGTGTTTCAATCCAGGATGTTACGATGAGAAGTCTTTTTTTATTTTTTGGAGTTTTTTGTTTTGTTTTTGTTTGTTTTGGTTTTGTTTTTTTTTAAGCCATGTTTAATCTATATTTTTGCTGTGTTTTTATGATGTGGAGCGAGTGTGAATTGAAGAAATAGTGAGCATCGAACTTTGAAGTGATATAAGTGAATGATGCTAAAGGACTACATTTTAAAATTTTACTTGGGAAAAAAAAACAATAGGAAACAGTTGAGAATTCCTGGTCAAGCAGATTAAAAAAAAAAAAATGAATTCCCTAAGTCATTATTCCAGTATCCTCTGGCCTTCTGTGAGTAACTCTGGGCTGGGAGACTGTGTGTGATGGCAGGAAAGTCCACAAGGTCTGGAGTCTTGGTCTGGTTTGAATCCCTCTGAATGCTTATGCACTGGGTGACTTTGAAACCAGTTACTTAACCTTCGTAAGTCTTAATTTTTTCCCTTCTAAAACCAGGATAATAAAGGCACCTAGTCTTTAAGTTTATATTCTTTTAAAATAAATACAAAGTGCCAGGTCCTGTTCTAAGTATATTACTGCTGTCGACTCACTTAGTCCTGTATGAATCTTTTAAAGCTGGAATTACTGCTATTCTTGTCTTACATATGAGAAACCAAGGCATGGAGAAATAAGTAACTTGCCTTAGTTGCTTGAGCAATAGAGCAAAGATGCAAATCCAGGCAGTCCAGCTCCGGAGCTTGTTCTGAACCCCTGAGTTCTGCTCAGCTGTTTTCTCTGAGAAAGAGAGTTTCTACATTTTTTTAATGCAAAAATACTTCTAAATTCAATTAAATTAGTAACTACCAAATATATTTAGGTTTCAATGCTTTGAAGTGCTGTGAGAAATTCAGGCCTCCCTGGGACTATGCCTGCATTTTTTCCCCATCAAGTGTCTCAGAGCTAGAAGATTAAGACACCTTCAGTTCTAGGATCTGTTATTTTAAGATGAGGAAACTGAGTTATAAAAGTAAGAAATAAGGCCATTATGCCCTGCAGGTTATAGATAATGCTTACTTATACAGATATCATTTTTTTTTAAAGATTTATTTATTTATTAGAGGGAGAGAGATCACAAGTAGGCAGAGAGGCAGGCAAAGAGGGGGGTGGGGAAGCAGGCCCTGCTGAGCAGAAAGCCTGATGCGGGGCTCGATCCTAGGACCCTGAGATCATGACCTGAGCTGAAGGCAGAGGCTTTAACCCACTGAGCCACCCAGGCGCCCCACAGATATCGTTTATTAAAAGGTAGTATAATTCTCTAAATTCTGTTATAGAATTCACTATAAAGCAGGAAAAAAAAATTTAAGCCTCTGGCTAAATTTACTTCTTGGAGTTTTAAACATAATTCTCTTTCTCTCTTGATTTTCTGCCTTACACCCAATTTTGTCCTCCATTCTTGTGTTTTATGCATCTGTGTCTCACTCTCTTTCTGTCCTTTCCTGCCCAAGATTTTAAGAGACTGATGGCATTGAATGCTCATAGTCCATTAATTAGTGGTATGATGTGGTAAGAACCTGTCAGGAGGCTTCCCTCTTTTGCCTTCAGATGAGGGTTTGCTGGGCAGCCATTCAGAGTAAAAGGCCTTGCTTATCCTGAGTGAAGAGGAGTCTCTTATAGCTGTCAGCAGCTAGGGGTTCTGGGGGTACACATCTGCTCCTTTCATCCATCCAATCACAGGTAAGACCTGGAAAGCCCAGCATCTATGACAGCACCTATCTGGTCCCCCACAGTTCTAGAAAATTCCATTTTGCATTCTTTCTGTTCCTTTTGTTTCAATTCAGTTAGCTCCTGGAGTGTCCCCCGCAAAGACCCCTTGTAATACAATGTGGGGACTCAAATTAGAGTGTGTTTTTTAAATATTCGAACAAAGGCAGTGGGCACCGTTGCTGTCTGCCGGGACACAGGGACCTGGTAAGGCTGGCCTTCCAGGGTTTTGGGCCCTGGGAATAGGCTGGTAGGGTTGGACAGATTTTTCTTCTTTGCCTTTTTTTTTTTTTTTTTAACTCCCTTAAAGGAATTGGATTAAGTGTTTGTTTGTTTTCCAGTGGTGGATTTTCCTAAAACAAAACAAACACTCCCAAACAGATGCCCTCTAAAAGGTAGAAGTTATGACATCCTATCTTTGAACTCCCCCCTTCCTGTGCTGCAGTGGGTAGTAAGCGTGGGTAGTGTGTGAGTTTGAACTTGATGGGTCTGATGTGAGTGTGGTAGAACAGGCAGAGTTTGGATAACATGGGCAAGCTAGGCCTTATGGGTATTTCCCAGCCAGCAGAGAACCAACATTGGCTGAAGTTTTCTACAGTCCAGGAGCTGGATACAGTAAGAACTGCTTGCGCTAGTTGAGAGTGTAATTTTATGACTGGTTTGACATTGGGGGAAGTATGGATGTACAGGAGGAGGGCAGGAGGAAGGGCAAGATGTCTCAAGGGCTGGAGACATAGGTCACTTGGATAGGATTCTTTCTGGAGGAGAGTATGACATCATTTCAGGAGAATTTGACTATTTAAACAGCTAATTTTAAATAAGTGAATAGTATTGATTTAATATCAATAGGTGACTTGAGATTGACCTCAACTTTACAGAGCTCTGTAACTCTTTTGCTTATTACAGTCTAACTATATTATCAGGAAGTGAAGAGAGATAGTGATCAGCTCAGAGTGAGTCGGGAGTCTACTTGTGGTCCAGAAAGCTGTGTCTAGTAGAAATTGTTACATTATAAACATTGGGTAGTTGGGGTAGAGGCAGTTCGAGAAAGTGGAGCATACCATTTTCACTCTATATTGGTCCAGGCAGAGAAGAGGGACTAGTTGAACAAAATGACACTAACCCAGGGGCTAAATGAAAGTGAGAGAACCTTCCATTCTACCTTCTAACTGCCAAGTGTGCTGGTCATCACATTCCAGACCTCACCTAACTTGACCTTTCTCTTTTATTTGGCACTGTTAACCATTCTCCTTGACACACTCCTTCACATCTGTCACATCCCCCATACCATCCTTTGGATATCCGATTCCCTGGCATTAGCTATAACCAACACCCAGGTAGATAAGTCACCAGTTCCACGTAAGGCTTTTCTCCTGAACTTTGGGTTCAAAATGTCTATATTCTTCTCACATCTCCCTTCCCAGGTGCCCTGCAGTGACTTCAAATTTCAAACCAACCTCATTAGTCACTAACACAAACTTTCTCCACCTACTCCTTGTCTTAAAGGTCCAACATCCATACACTC